ACTTGAGCCACAGTTCCACTGCTGGCTTTTTAGTGACTAATTGAAGATAAGAGAACTTTTCTGCCTGGGCTGGCTTCAAACCACAATCGTCAGATCTCAGCCTCCTGAGTAGCTAGGATTATAGGCATGAGCCACTGGTGCCTGACCATTTATTTTTTAAGGAGAAGCACATAATATGTGGTAGATTCACTCATAATAACATGAAATTTAAGACTGATCAATATAATCAGGGTGTATTGATCTGATTCACCCACTGCCATCAGCGTTTATATTTCACATCAACTATTCTCTCACCTAATGGTTTCAAACACCCACGGGCTTTCGATTTCCCTGATGTTATATTAGTATTTGTAAAGTGGCCCTTTTCTATCTTCACAGTGTTTATTAGCTGGTATTTTCTTTTTTGGAAGTAACTGTGGTTTGAATGCAAGGCCTTTCACTAACTAGACAGGCATACCCTTTTTGTGTTGGTTACTGCCAAGATAGTCTCACTTTACAGTGGACCTGAGTCCTGCTATTTGTGCTTCCCCTTGTGCACCACTTTGCCCAGCCATTGGTGGAGATGGAGATCTCATAAACCTTTTGTCCAGGTTGACTTCCAGTGGCAATAGTGCAGACTTCTACCTCCCAAGTAGCTAGGATTACAGGTGTGAGCCATCATGCCTAGCCTCGCTGGAATTCCATAAGAAAGAACTTTCCCATTATTCAGCAAGGAGAAGGAATGAAGTGCTGATACATGTTGCAATATAGATGAAGCTGGAACACATTATGCTAGGTGAAAGAGTCAGCCACAAAGATCACGACTGCTCATCTCCATTTATATAAAATGTCAACACAGGCAAACCCGTGAGACAGCACACAGATGAGTGGTTTCTGGGGCTGAAGAAGTAGGGACAAATGTGAAGTGACTACTAATAGATACAGGGTTTCTTTGGAGAGGATGATTTAAAAAAACAAAAACATTATACACTAAGATTGTAATGACGTTCGCAGAGTATTTTAAAAGAATAAAAATAATTTGGGTGTGTGTGACTCAAGTGGTAGAGAGAGGCCTTAGATTCAGTCCCTTATACCACTCAAAAAAATAAAAAGCAAAAGCCAGACCAGGGGCGGGGAGCAGGGGTACACACCTAGAACTGTAACTACTCAGGGGACAGAGATAAGGAGGACTGCGTTCAAGGCCAGCCCAGGCAAAAAATTAACAAGACCTCAGAACAACAAAAATAAACTGGGAGTAGCAACATGCCTGCCACCATGGCTATGTCATCATAGGACATAGGTAAAAAGTAACACAAGCCCTGAGTTCTGGCCCCAGGCTGGAAAGGAGGCAATAAAATGCTCTCTGGCAGGGCCACTAGGCAAGGTCAATGGTACAATTTCTTATTTGGCTCAGCCCAAGCTCTTTCTCGGGGAAACATTTGCGCTTTCAGCTAAAAACTCTATGGAGATTAAACTCTTTATGAGAGGTCAGAAACAGCTCAGCTTTCTATCCTCACTCTTAAATAAGATTGTGTAGTGCTTTTTGCAATAATGCATTAATAAATCTGTTGTGACCAAAGCATCAAAGCTCACGGCATTCTACAAAATTAGATTTCGCAGGAAAACCTTGGCCTGATGGCTTCAACTTCCAAGAGACAATCCCTTTATGACCCAGAGGCTCTGGAGGTTGACAAATGCAGGAAATCTATTCCTCCACATCCTGCACAGACCCTACATTGTCTTCCCACTGCCCACTAGAAAGCCCAACTTCTTGTGAAGACTTAGGTGACTCTGCTGTTATGAGCCTCACTATCCTGCCACAACCCAGACAGTGCCAGGCACTTAGCTCAGGTAAGATGGAGAACTCCCACTCCTCCCCACTGAGTCTCCCTCTAGCCTCTTCAGTTTCTCCTCCAAGTGGAAAAAAATGTAAAGTTCTTGTGAGTCCTCAGGAGGAGAGAACGCCTGCTCTAGATAGGAGAAACAGGGCTCCACTCTTCCCTACAAAGCTAGAAATGGTGGTGAGACTGCAGACCCGATATAAGGATGAGAGGAGCTGGTGTGACGATGGAGAGGTAAGTTAGGCAGTCCTGAGGACTGGCTTCCACTGTGGAATGGCAGAGATGTCAGGGAGCCATAGAATAGGGTCGAGTTCAAGGCCTACAGAGGCCTGGCCCTTCCTTCCGTCTCCTCCCAAGCTCTGTACCCCTCCTTCCACCAATCAGTGGGAGCCCCACCCCCAAACTGGGCCGACTCCACGTGATTTATTACATCCTACAGAAGCACAGGGCAAGTGTTCTCAATACCCCCAAGTCATATGCAGCCACAACACAAGCAACATTCAGTCCTTCCTTAGTGCCAGCTCATTTGCTATTACTACACTTCAGTAAATTTTCACTGGTGGCAACATTTTCTCTGAGTTGAATGACTTTAACCACAACCAGAAAGATCTTTATAAATATAGATAAGGTTACCTCCAGTCCCTCCCTAATCAGCTATCATTGTTCAAAGAATATCCAGATTTTCTTGCTGAGTTTTCCAAGGTATACAAGCAGACCCTGACCATCTTCCTCCCTCCCTCTGACCAAACCATTCCAGTTCTTTAGCATTTTTTCTTCTTCACACTCCTACCCCAGAGGGAGTTACAAAGATAGATAGGGCTTACATTGCCAGGGCCTAGCCTTGGCTATGTGTTTTATTCTACAAGAGGCAGGGATCAGAATCATCCAAGAGTAAGACCTTAAACACAGTGCAGAGCTTGGAAGGGTAACTCCCTGGCAGTGCTGAGGATGACCCAGAGCAGAGAAAGTCAACCGAGAGCAAGAAGGAAGACCCTGGGCAAAACTCTGACCTTATATACAGTTCCACTAGTAAAGTGACTCTTAACGGCCAGAAGGCAAGTGAGCACAGGAAGCTGAGACCTAGATGGGAAACAAAACCCAGACTGAAGTGCTCACACAATCATAAAACTCTTATGACAAAAGAATGTTCTCAAGCTGCATCAGCTGCTCATTCCTGTAATTCTAGCTTCTCAGGAGGCTGAGATCTGAGGATCATGGTTCCAAGCCAGCCTGGGCAGGAAAGTCTATGAGACTCTTACCTCCATTAACTAGTAAAAAGTCTGGAGAGCTATGGCACAAGCGGTAGAGTGCCAGCCTTGAGCAAAAAAGCTAAAGATCAATAATGAGGCTCTGAGTTCAAGCCTCAGTACTGGCACAACAATAATAAACAAAAAGGGGAGGGTGTTCTCATGTTTTCTGAATAAATTGGGCCAAAAGGGACCTGCCAACATCTGCATTTTCAAAAATCCTAAGTCTATTAATTAATGTCTCCCACTTTTCTGCCAGTTTGCAACACACTCATTTTCAAGTGTCACCAATCTTTCTTTTGACTTCCAGCTGGGAGATCCTGACCCTACACTACCCTTCCTTGCTCAAGATTTTTCAAATGCGCTAACATCCTCCAGCTCCATCTCGGCTTCCAACCACTCCTCAGCACATCGCGCAAATGACCCTAAATGGACAGAAGGCAGAGGGACTTCAACGGGCACATTAGCCTTGAGTCCATCACACTCCTCTTCCAAGCATCCTGGCAGCCGTGGCACCATCTTCTGCAGATGCCCTCTACGTCTGTGCCTGCTGCTTCTCTGCTACATGGGCCTCTTTCTCCTGTCCCTCTAAGTTTATAGAACTATGTAAACTCCCTCCTAACTGATAGTTATAGATACTCCTAGGGAACCAAGTAGTACTAGGGCATAAAAGATGACATAAACCCATGTTGTTTCCAAGACATTAAAAATATAAAAAAGTAATACAGTACTACTGTATTACTTAATTTTTTTTAAATTGGTGATCCCTAAGTTTTATTCTGCTTTATAAAACAACTCTCAGGCAAAGTGTGGTAGGGCATACCTACAATCTCAGCTTCACAGGAGGCAGATGTAGGAGAATCTTGATCCTAGGTAAGGCAAAAGCATGAGACTATCTGAAAATAAGCTAAAGCCTTTTTTCCTTCACTGGAAGGAGCTCACCGCTGAACCCAAGCCTCTGCTATGGCCATGACTGAGAGCTACTAACTTCCAATCCACAACAGGTCTCAGAAACAAATGACAGAAGCAACAGTGATGAGAAAATTGCTACCTGAGGGTATGAAAGGGCCCATACCCAGCAGAGAGGCAACTTTTCCAAGGTAACTGTCCAGGCGTTAACAAGCACACAAAGGACACATTCAGTCAAATGAGGAAGGGAAGTCGAGCAAAGTCCTAATCAGGCCCAGTCCTAGCAATGTTAACTACAGCCAGCACCCCATGACCCAGGGGCCTAGTCTGAGATCCTCTCAAATATCAAAATTTAAGGATACTTGGTATTTACACACAACCCCCACACATCCTTCTGTACACTCTAAGACCATCTCTAGATCACTCACAATACCTTACAAAATGTAACTTCTTTATAAACAGTTATTATAGTGTATTGTTTAGAGAATGACAAGGGGAAAGCCTGCATATGTTAACTACAAATGCAAATTTTTAAAAATATTTTTGACCCATGGTTGGAGGGCCTAATATAAACATTTAACCTTTTAGAAGAGCACTCTTAAACTGGAACCTTTTCATAACCTGTACACAACTAGCATTTTCCCAAAATTATTCTTGTCCTAGCTTGTGTCTTTAATGTTTAATCTTTACAGATGATACGTTGTCAAGAAGGGATGCCTATAAGAACCATTTTGCTATAAGTCTTTTAAGAAAGTAGAGGAAGTTGGGTGCCAATGGCTCAAGCCTGTAATCCTAGCTACTCAGGAGGCTGAGATCTGAAGATCTCAGTTCAAAGCCAGCCAGGGCAGGACATCTGTTAGGACGTCCTTGAGACTCTTATCTCCAATTAACCACTCAGAAAACCAGAAGTAGCGCTGTGGCTCAAGTGGTAGAACCCTAGCCTTGAGCTGAAGGGCTCAGGGACAGTGCCCACTCCCAGAGTTCAAGCCCCATGACAAACAAAAAAAAAAAAAAAAAGGAGAGAAAAAAAAAGACTCCAACTATTTTATTGGAGGAGATAAGCTACTCCAGAACTGTATGGATGTGAACAGCAGGAACAGCACGGAAGGGATGGGGTTCATTGTCAGACTCCATAGTACTAAAACCACCAGGTTTTCCTCTTCACCATGGTTCGATTATTTGTGTTCACTCTCCACTCGGGATTCTGGAGACCAACAAGAGGAATCTTGTGATCAACCAGAAGTCCTTCAGTCTTCTCTCCACCATGGCATCCACGGAGAGGAAGCTACTTTTCCGATTCCTCGGGGAGACTGGAGAGCCTCTTGCGCATGGCAATCCCGCGCTCCCGACTCCGGTTCCTCTTTTCCTCATACTGAATGGAAAAAGGGAGAGAACAGACAGCAGGTGAGGTCCAGAAAGGGAGAGAAACGACAGCAGGTGAGGTCACAGCCCACAATTCCATAAGGAGTGTTTTCACTGATAAAATTCCTATTTCAGTGAATCTGAGATCGGAGACAGTGATATCAGGGGTACTTAGAGCAATCCTAATGGAACAGTACGAGTGCTGATCCAACTTCCTCCCCAAATAAGAACTCAACGATTCTTTCAAATGAATGTATCAGTCTCTGTCTTCCAACAGGCCACCTAGCTGGGCGTGTCTCACCACTAAAGCTCCTTACTTTGACTAGTGGCCTGTTTAATTGTTGGACAGTTCTACTTATTCCAAAGTTCACATGTTGAACCAAAGACTATTTCCCAGCAACTCTGCTACTAACTACTATGAATAAAACAAGATGGATGCAGTGGCTCACATCTTTTATCCCACTACTTGAGAGGAAGAAATAGAGGACTGCAGTTTGAGACTAGTCCTGATAAAAAGTTCCTGAGACCCAATCTCAACAAATAAGGCAGGTATGCTGGAACACACCTCTAATCGCAGCTATGGGGAGGTATGGATAAGATCACAATCCTAGGCCAGCCTGGGCAAAAAGCATGAGACCATATCTGATAAAACTTAGCACTGGAAATTAAAAAAAAAGAATGCATTGTATAATACTAATATACACATCTGCATAGGCAAAATTATTACCCTTAACATAATAGCTGGGAATGGTGGCTCATGCCTGGGATCCTTGCACTCAGGGAAGCTGAGGCAGGAAGGTCTCAAGTTCAAGACCAGCCAGGGTCATCCTTCACACGAAATTCATGAAGTACTTCAAGCAACAAAGTTAATGTCACACTGAAAAGAGATTTATCCAACATGAAGAGCTAGACAGTTTCTAATACTACATTTCAATCTTTTAATCTGAAACTAATTGACAAAAAGTTCAGAAAATGAAAATTAGAACACATTTTTTAATGCATACACACACATTTGGCCATTACAAATTCTGAAAGGTTCTAGGGATAAAGTATCTGATGTACAAACTAGAAACAAAATTCCATTTCTAAGGTTTAAGAGGCATTCTGCTTGGTTAAGGGTTCCTGGAAAAAGACAATGAACTAGGGGCATTTGGGCTGTTGGCTCAAGTCCAAGTCATAGCCTAAAAGCAGGGTTAGGAGATGAGGACCTCCTGTGGCCTGTACACAGCTCTACAAAGAAATCCAAAACAATAAAGCTGGAATGACCCCAAGCGTAGCATCCTCTCTTCGTAGGTAAATTGAGGACCAAAGAGTTTTAGCCATCTGCTAATCAGCTAATCTCCGAGTGAACCAAGTCTGTCCATTGACCAGAGACATAATTTCTTAAATCCTAAAATTCATCCAACTTGAATTTCTGAGTGAAAACAAAGATTTTTTTTTTAATCATTTGTGTGACAGGCAACAAGACAGCTCTGTTCTACATTCGTCCTCAGGTGAGGCCTAGCCTTCTTTACTTTTGGAGGGGAGCACATACACTGAAAGTTGGCCTTCTCTGTGAAATTTTAATAATGGCAACAATATATAATCTTCAAAAATGTTATATTTCCTTGCTTTAATTTGCAGCCTTTCAGTTTTTAATCTTACCTCTTTCTTCAAGCATTTTCTCATCTCCCGGTCAAAATCATTGCAATGCCCAAAAAATTTCAGAATGTTGTGCTAAAAGGAAGAAAAGGGTAAAATATTTCATCCCATTATATGCTGATGTCTCCAGTACACAGAATTTAAATAGGTATTATTATGTCATTTTGTCAGTAAGTATAAGACCTACATAAAATACATAAACCAACAGTTTTCTCCTGGTCCTTCCTACAAAGGAAGAACACATGTTCTACATGTAGAAACAAAAACAAATTGACTTATTCCTTCTACAAGGCCTCTTGACTCATCAAAATCTCACACTGAGTGTACAGTGGGGCTTGAACTCAGGGCCTTGCGCTCTTACTTGGCTTTTTCACTCAAAGCTGGAATTCCATCACTTGAGCCACTACTCCAATTCCAGGCTTTTGCTGGTTATTTGGAGATAAGCCGTCTCATAGATTTCTCTGCTCTGGCTGGCTTTGAACCATGACCCTCAGATCTCAGCTTCCTAAATAGATAGGATTCCAGGCATGAGCCACCAGTACCCCTTTCTCTAGGGACATGTTAGAGTCAGAGCACAAGCCATTCTCCACACTCAGGCCTGGTGTGAGCTGCAGTGTGGCAGTCACATGACAGAGTAACTTACTTCATTAGCACAAGCTCTGTTCTGTAGAAGCCTTTACTGAATAAAATGTCTGATGCCAAAGACATTTTCTCATTTGTCATTGAAATATCACACACACACACACTAGGTCCTCACACACACACTAGGTACACACACACACACACGGTCCTGTACACACACACTAGGTCCTCACACACACACTAGGTACACACACACACACACACACACACACACACACACACAGTCCTGTACTGACCACATAAATAAGCCACTTGATCACGATGCTTTGTTGGAAAAAACAAAAAGACAAAAGTAAAAACTCCCCTAGTGGTTTAAAATTCTGACTATTATCATGGGAAAAAAAAACTATGAAAGATGTAAAGCGGGTTGAGATGAAGTCTGAAGTTAAAAAGCTGAATTTTAGCAAGACTATAATTAGTGTTGGAACATCACCGTTTTTAAGAGTGGGTCAGATAGTGTGGCGATCTGCTATAATGATACGCCGTCAATGCTGAACTCATAGTTGCAATAAGCACACTTTTCCCTCTTCTTTCAAATGATGGCTTTTGCGGAAAGCAGACAACACATGATTATCAAGCTCTGCTTCATGCAATTTCTTTTTCTCCTGCTTTCACTGCCACTTTAAAAGCACCCTCGGGTCACAGTTTTTCTGTCAATGATTGAAGATGGTCTAAGACCTCCTACTTGTAATTGAATGGCTTTTTCAGAGTAAGTATTTCTTGTGTGTTTTTCCTAAACTACTTTCTTGACAACAAATAAATGGTGATAACACATCTGCATCCCTTCTCGTGGAGTAGAAGACTGGACTTTGAGAATGTAACTATCTTACAATCTAGTGTACATTCAAGTCATACCATCCTGAACACATGTATCTTATTTGTCTCTTCGCTTCCACATTATCTAGGCTCAGATGAGAATGACACTTGTGGCATTATGTGAAAAGTGTTCAATACAAATGTCCTCGTGAACTGGTACCAAGGTGTCGTGCACACTCAGGACACCTGTCTCCAGTGCCTGGTGTCCATCTCTAGGGAATCAAACCAATCAAGTGACTGTGTAATTGAATCAACTGCTACATATCTGAGACTTATAAATGGAAAACTATGTCCCAGTCACTGGAGAGACAGCAGTGACAAGGTGGTCCTGGATACTCCTTTCACTGTGGTCTGAGAGAGACAAAGCAACTGCATACAACCCTGGAGCAGAGTCCAGGGGTTCCCAGGGGCTCCCAAGACCCATTCAGTAGATGCTCAAGGTCAAAATCATTTTCCTAGTAATTAAAGATCTTGCAGGAAATGGCAGAGATTTCCAGCGTTTATACATTAAGTTTATACAACAGACTGAACCAAGGGGTGAATGTGAGAACTCAGTTGTAGTCTACTAATTGCCATGCAAATAGGAATTATAAATGTAATACCAGCTGGGAACTGGTGGCTTACACCTGTAGTCCTAGCTAGTCAGGAGGCTGAGATCTGAGGTTCTCTGTTCAAAGCCAGTCTGGGCAGGAAATTCCAATTAATCACAGAAAAAGCTGGAAGTGGCACTGTGGCTCAAGTGGTAGAGCACTAGCCTGGAGCAAAAAGAGCCCAGGGACAGTACACAGGCCCACAGTTCAAGCCCCAGGACTGGCAAAAAAAAAAAAAAAGTAATGCCATTCTTTTAGTCCTCCCTCCCTCCTGCACCTGTTGTTGTTGTTGTTGGTACTAGGGTTTGAGCGTAAGGTAAGGCCTAGCTCTCGCTAAGCGTCCTCCCTCCCTGCTGCACCTTTTGTTGTTGTTGGTACTAGGGTTTGAGCGTAAGGCCTAGCTCTTGCTAAGCAGGTCCTCTACTTGAGCCACACCTTAGCCCTTCATGCTTTCATTATTTATTGTTTGCTTTATACCTTCCTATGCTTTCTTGTACTATCTATAATGACATATAAGCAATACTTACACACTGCTTTCCTTTTTGTGTTAATTCTGGGACTTGAACTCAGGGCCTGGGCACCATCCCTGAGCTTTTGTGGGTTTTTCTGCTCAAGGCTAGAGCTCTACCACTTGAACCACACTTCCACGTGGCTTTTTTGGTGGTGAATTGGAGATGAGTCTCATGGACTTTCTTGCCCTCGCAGGTTTCAAACCACAGTCCTCAGATCTCAGCCTTCTTAGTAGCTAAAATTACAGGCATGAGCCACCAGTGCCCAACTTTAAAAACTGCTTTATAAACCAGGAAAAAAAATACATAAGGACCTCCAAGTGGTTTGTTCTAAATTCAGTATGTTAACTGCAGACAACCTGTGTCTCGCTGTCAAGCGGGACAAAGTAGGCCAAATGACCAGAAGCAGCCATGGATCCTGGTGGCAAAGCAACATTTGACTGGGAAGACGGCAGAACTATAAACCACAGGTAGAATGGTAAAAAGCACAGCCAGGCAGGGCTATGCAGATAAAATAGTCCTGTACCTCACGAGGGCTGGAAAGCACTGTAGAAACCCAGCTGGAAAGGACTGTTCAGAATGATGGCCTTATCACCAGAGAAGATGAAAATACAGACGCATAAAAATTCAGGGCTAGAAGCTAGGTAATTTAATCCACTCATTCTATTGATTAAGCAAGCAAGACCTTAAGGCACATATATTTAGTAACCTTAAAAAATATTTTTCTTTAAAAAAGTAGGTAGAAAGTTAGGCTTTATCAAAAAGTAATTTTACCCTACCCAGCCTCTCCCCCCGCCAAAAAAAGTGCATTTCCATTTTCACCAAGTACAAAAGCAGACAAAGATGAAACCTACTATGAGGAGTTAGTTCTAACAGCTGGCTGTCCCTGCCGGAACAGTGGCTGACAGGGAACATGGGTTTTAAAGCCCAATTTGAGCCACAGCACCACTTCTGGTTTTCTGGTGGTTAACTGAAGAGTCTCACATGAGACTTTCCTGGGCTGGCTTTGAGCTGCAATCCTCAGATCTCAGCCTCCTAAATTGCTAGGATTACAGGTGTAAGCCACCAACACCTGGCTACCTTGTTTCTTTTTGCAAAGGAAGAGACCCAGATATGTTTTTTACCTCCTCCTCTTTTCTACAAATGTTACAATAAGATAAACACTTTTTTGCAAATCAATTATTTCATTAGTCATTGGAATTATTCCATGTCAGCTCATCAAACTTTTTTTTTTAAAAGAGCTATGAACAAGTACCAACTGAAAGACTCCTGGTGGCCAAACCTCAAACAACCTTAGCAATAAAATGAAAAACTGGGTTACAACATAAGCATCCTTGAGTCCATTCTGATATAAGAAATTGTGTGGGGGGCTAAGTATCTAGAACAAAGATTTTTTTAAAGCAGATTTCATTATACAGACACTCATCATCCAGGAGGGAAAGCTTAACTCAGTCCTTACACAGTGGCTTCCTTCTAAAGTATTACAGAAAGGGGACAAGGGCAGAGAAGTATGACAGAGACAACCTCAGTCAGGTAATGAAGGTCAATATCAACAGTGATAATCCATGCTGAGAGTATGGAGCCATACAACAAGTAGTGGAAATGCTACTTTACCTTTGTGATCCTCCCAAATCACACGAGTATGACCATGATAACTTAAGATAAACTAGGCACTTGGGACTCAAACTTGTAATCCTAACTACTCAGGAGGCTGAGATCTGGGGGATTTACAATTCAAAACCGGCCAGAGCAGGAAAGTCTGTGAGCCACTTACTCCAAAATGACCAGCAATAATCCAGGCAGAAGGTATGGCTCAAGTGAAGAGTGCCAGCTGAGCAAGCAAGCTAAGCAAGCTGAAAGGCTCAGAGATCAAACCTCTGGTACTAGCAAGAGAGAGAGAGAGAGAGAGAGAGAGAGAGAGAGGGAGAGAGAGAGAGAGAGAGAGGGAGAGAGAGAGAGAGATAAATGCATGATAAATGCATCCTCCAAGACATATGGGCATGAAACTGCAAACCATCATGGCCAGAAACAAACTGTAACAGCCAGGCGCCAGGGGTTCACGCCTGTAATTCTTAGCTACTCAGGAGGCTGAGATATGAGGATCACGGTTCCAAGCCAGCCCAGACAGGAAAGTTAATGAGGCTCTTATCTCCAATAAACCACTCAGAAAACTGGAAGTGGCACTGTGGCTCAAGCGGTAGAGCACTCGCCTTGGGCTGAAGAGCACAGGGACAGCGCCCAAGCCCAGAGTTCAAGCCCCATGACCCACCAAAAAAAAAAAAAAAGAAAGAAAGAAACAAGCTGTAACAGCCCAGAGGAGCCTTGCAGCCATGACAACTATATGACATGGTGAGGTATAATGTGGTATCCTGACTGGAATCTACCAGACTCAAACGTGGACTTAATTATATGCATACTAATACCAGTTCATTAATTCTAACAAATGTACCTTACTAATAATATTAAGGATACCAGGTGTTGAGGCCTATGAAAATTCTGTACTACAGTCACAATTTTCAATCAAAACCTGCTCTTAAAAATGGAATCTACTAATTGGGCAATCATGGCTCAGGCCTGTAATCCTAGCTATTTAAGGAGGCTGATATCTGAGGATCACAATTTGAAGCCAGCCTGGATAGGAAAGTCTGTGATACTCTTATTTCCACTAAACTGCAGAAAGAAAAGAAAAAAAAAAGAGCAGATGTAAAGCTGTGGTTCAAGTGGTAGAGCGCTAGCCTTGAGCAAGAGAAGCTAAGGGACAGTGCAGTGCCTGGGCTCTCTGAGTTCAAACCCCAGAACCAGAACCAAAAAAAAAAAAACACTACTTAAAAAATGGCTGTACAGTGGCTGGGAAAGTGGCTCAGTGGTAGAGTGCTTGCCTCCCATACATGAGGCCCTGGGTTCAATTCTTCAGCACCACATAAATAGAAAATGCCAAAACTGGTGCTGTGACTCAAGTGGTAGAGCACTAGCCTTGAGCTGAAGAGCTGAGGGACGGCCCCCAGGTCCAGAGTTCAAGCCCTATGACCAAAAAAAAAAAAAAAAAGAATCTGGAAATTTTTATGACCAAGAAATAACAAAAAAAAAAAAAAAAAGGCTAAACAAAAGTTCATTGTGTAGATGTACAAGAAGTTACTCAACTATTGCATGTTAGGAAAAGACTGTTCCTAATATTTGACAATGCTGAAATTTGCAACTTTATGCATCTGTACTTTCAAATCATTCGGACTTATACACAGATAAACTCCTAGAAGTGGGGTGATGCATCAAAGGGCAAAGAGCAGTTGAGCTATTTGCAGCCTGTAACTAATCACAGTCCCATAGAAATGCATGAATGTCCTTCACAGCCTGGCCAAAACAATGTGCTATCCTACTTTTCAATTTGCCAACTGAGGATAAGGAATGGTATCTCAGTATATTCAATTTATGTTAAATTAAGTTGAATATCTTTTCATATTTTTAAAGTAATTCTGGAGTATGACACACAAGACCCTGAGTTCAAACCTCAATACTTCCAAAAGGAAGTAGTGAGTATTCATCTATTATTACATGTTGGGTAGAAGTTCACAAGGACTCAAAACTAAACCATCACAGCAGCTATAAGCTGAAAAATGCAGAGCTCACACATGGCTGAGATCAATGGAATTCTTACAAGCCAGTTACTGAACACTCAAGTCAATCAGTAAAGAATCTGGAAAAACTATGTTTTAGTGTCTGGGCTAAATGAACCCTAGGATAAAGACTACTCTAGACCTGCCCTAAAAACACTTAACAACGTGCCTAAAGAAAGGCCCGGTCGTTGGGGCTGGGAAGGTAGCTCAGTGGTAGAGCACTTGCCTTGCATGCCCGAGGCCCTGGGTTCGATTCTTCAGCACCACATAAGCAAAAAGAAAAAGGCAGAAGTGGCGCTGTGGCTCAAGTGGTAGAGTGCTTGCCTTGAGCTGAAGAGCTGAGGGACAGCGCCCAGGCCCAGAGTTCAGGCCCCACAACTGGACCCCCCCCCAAAAAAAAGCCCGATCGCTTCTCAGCGATGGTTAAGATCAAATATAAGAAAGGCTCACATATTTCCAAAAGTAAATGAACTGCCTACCAATACAAACCTATGGCTGACTTTCCCACCTGAGCTGGCTTTGAACCACGATGTATCTAACATTTCTATGGAAATGGAAACATCCTAAACTCTGAATAAGGACAAAATTGGATGGTTTACACTGGATGCTTTGGGGCTTACTACCTGGCAGAGGAAATCAAGACTGTGGTACAGGTGTGAAAGACATATGAATCACTGAGACAGACTGGAACCCAGAAACAGATCCTGTGTAACTGACTTTTGACAAAGTAAAGTAATTCAGTGGGGAAAGGAAGAGTCCCTTCAACTAATGTTGTTCAAACAACAAACAACTGGATATCCACAGGCAAAAAACAAACAAAAACAAAAATAAAAAAACACCTCAACTCCTATCTCATTATATACAAATATTAACCTGAAATGAAACAAAGATTTAAATATAAAATCCAAGACTACAAAACTCTAGTAGAAAACACAGGAAAAAAATCTTTGCAAAAAACAATGATCCGTAAGAAACAAAAGGCACAAACTATAAAAACGAAAAAGATAAATAGAGCTTTATCGAATTTATAAGCTGGACTTTGAAACAAATTGGTCAGAAAATGTAAAGAAATTCACAAACTGGAAGAAAATATTCATAATACTTTTTCTTGACAGAATTTACATTCCAAATGATAAAAAGAATTCTTGTAGTACAATTGTAATACAAACAACTTTTAAACACTGGCAAGACCTTACTTGAATAGCTGATAAGCACAAAAAAAGATGCTCAATATCATTAACAGAAGAAATATAATTTAAAACCAAAAGGACACACCATATCATATCCTGTAGATTCGTTTAAGAATATTTACAAAATCGCCAGGTACTGTACTGTGGCTCATATCTATAATCCTAGCTACTCAGGAGGCTGAAATCTGAAGACTGCAGTTCAAAGCCTAGGCAAAAATAAAGTCCATGAGATGTCTATGTCTATTGGAATAAATTACCAAAAAAAGCAGGAAGTAGAGCTGTGGCTCAAGTGGTAGAGTACTAGCCTTGAGCAAAAGAAGCTTAGGGACAAAACCCAGGCCCTGAGTTCAAGTCCAGAACCAGAACACACACAAAAAAAGGATATTTACAAAATCAAGTGCTGGCAAGAATGGGGAGTTGACAGAAAATATCAAATGCTATAAATAGAATAGGTGGGTAGTTTCTTGCAAAGTTAAACACTTAACATACAACTCAGTTCTTTCTTATTTACCCAAGAGAAATAAAAAGATGTACACACAAATACTTGTACACAAATGTTTGTAACAGCTTTATTTGAAACAGCATACTGTAGTCAATCTAAATGTTCAACAGGCAAACAAACCTGCACATTAATACAATGCAATATCACTCAAAAAGTGATTAATGACTTTGTCCGACAACAACTGTGGAAGCATACACAAGAATATATAGATGCATGTTATTACAAATTTCAAAGCAGGATACCTAATCTACATTGACAGTAGAGCAGGAGTTACCTGAGCCAGCAGTGAAGAACAGGGTCTGACTATAAGGGGCACAGGTACCTCTGACATGACACAATGTCTTGTTTCTTGACTAACAGTGACATGGGTGCTTACTTTTATCAAAACTCATCCAACCATACACAGAAAAACAGATATATTATTAAGATAAATGTAAATCATACTTCAATAAAGCTAATTTTTTTAAGTCCACCTCTAGTGCCAGTGATTTGAGATGTTACCTTTACTATATGGAATATTTTGAAAGGGAGAAGAGGGTAGTGTTTCACTTGGTTCCAATTTAAAAAGAGTCATGGACCAAAAGGCAATAAATATATAAATAACATGCTGCAAAGAATCCTTAAAAGCAAGGATTGAAAAACCGACCTTTGTTTAATTAATCTAGGAAATAAACATGAAGAGTTGACCACCGAATTTGCCTTGAGCGTGGTGAGAAACGTGACACTCTTCTAAAGGGTCACACTGGCAAACTCTCAGTGCCAAGCGCTTGAGTTTTTCCAGTCTTTTCTTTTCCATGTTGCCTTGTTCTATTAGACTCTCCTCTAAAGTCTCTGATTGTAACTCACTATACATGTAGTTGAAATATTAAGTCAACAAAAATAACCAATTTCTATTCTTTAAAAAAGAAACTTTTTGGGGGGGGGAGGGGGGAATGATCGTGGGGCCTGAATTCTGGGCCTGGGTGCTGTCCCTCAGCTCTTCAGCTAGCACTCTTACCACTTGAGCCACAGCGCCACGTCCGGCTTTTTTCTTTTTGCTTGTGGAGTGCTGAGGAATCGAACCCAGGGCCTCATGCATGCAAAACAAGCACTCTACCACTGAGCCACCTTCCCAGCCCTAAAAAAAATCTGAAGTTGTGTTCCACTTTTGTAGTCTAGCTCATTTTCCAGTTGTATCAGGAAGTAGAGTGTGAAACAGCCCCCTTCTTATTCTGTTTGTTGAAAACCGATTGCTTATACTGTTCTCACAACATTCTCTGAACCAGTAAAAATGTCTGACTTCACAGATTATAAGTATTACTTACTACCTTGGTTTTGGTCCTTAAATTTTATTCATTCAAATGGTACTTACCAGTATGAAATTTTACACAACTACAGTTTAAGTGTCTTAGAGAATATCCAAAACACCAAGAAAAGTTAAAAAAAATGTTTCTTACAGTTGTGTCATGCATCAAATATGCAGATAAAAAACCTAAATATTTAACATCCATAAACACACCAGCTGATTTAACCCACTGCAAACAGGGGTTTCTTCTCTTTGGGTTTCAACCATGGAATTTTGCTCTCATAACACTAATAATTAAGTAATACCATCAAATTAGGCCAATCATAAATTGAACCTAGTTAACATGTAATTATAAAATATTTCTATCACCATAAAACACAGAAAGGTGGCCATCAAGAAGCAGACAACCTAGAAAAGTCCATATGACCATAAGAGTCATAATGGGATACAACTGTTCTAGTACTCTATCATTAGGAAAAGGAAAGTTCATTTCCAGAAGGACGTGGATTCTAGCTCTTATGGATCATTTCAGAAGTTCCCTAATAAATTATCATGCTTGAGTTTTAAGAATCATAAAAGGAAGTCATTTCTGAAAAACAATCGCACAACTGCTGATCTTTACTAGTCTAGTCCCATTATTAGGACACACTATTCCCATCCACTGATGCAGGTACGATTTCACACCAGTGCTATACCTAAGTTTCATTTGTGTTTTACAGTTGTTTTTCTTTTTTTTTTCGGGGGGGGGGTCCAGTCGTGGGGCCTGAACTTGGCCTGGGCACTGTCCCTCAGCTCTTCAGCTCAAGGCTAGCACTCTACCACTTGAGCCACAGCACCACTTCCGGCTTTTTCATGCCTCAGACATGCAAGGCAAGCGCTCTACCACTGAGCCACCTTCCCTTACAGTTGTTTTTCTGAACTCTTACATTTTTGTGACACTCCTTAAGTAAGTTAATCAAGATGTTGCATTCTTCAGTATGCAAGTGTGGAGATAAGTCAGGATGCATCCTTCTGAGGTTGAAGATCACAGCTGTGCAACCTGTGAATACAAGAATATCTTGAATATGCAGGAATGTACTTGTGAATACTATCTAAAGGAATTTTCAGGAAGAACACACAGTGGACCATTAATGTGAACCATTAACCAGCTGTATGACCTCAGAAAAATTCTCAAACTTAAGCCTCAACCCCCTGATATAATGATTCAGCAATTTCAATGTGTTACGAAGAATAGTCCAGAGAACCTGTAGGTTCAGAAGGAGAAAAGCAGGGATCCTCCAGAGTCAAACCTGGAAGAAAATGGGCAGGCAGAAGAGCTTGCTGACATTAGTTAAGCCTGATTTCAATTATTTCCTCCGATTTCAGAAGCTGATTGCCACTCATTTTGTTGAGATGAAATTGTACCAATTGAGAGAATTGGCATATTAATTCTTTTAAAATGCTTATTCCTGAGAGGGTTAAAGGGCATTAGTCAATTTTGCATTAGTGTGAATCAATATGGACTGCTTTCTTCTTAACATCTGGCTAAGAGCCTACTAGACAATGAAATAAGCAGATGTACAATTTTTCCCAATAAAATTATTATGCTGCAAACAGGAAAATGAAATCCTGAAATTACTACCCAAAGTAAAAAAACCATCAGCAAAAGTTAAAAGAAATACATTATTCTAAAGTGTTATCAGCTATTCTTTATACTACTAACCGAAATATATATATCAATGAGCTCTGATGGCTCATGCCTATAATCCTAGCTACTTAGGATGCTGAGAAGTGAAGACTGCAATTCAAAGCCAGCCCAGACAGGAATGTCTGTGACACTCTTCTCTCTGGTAAAACTAACAAACAATCTGAAAGTGGAGCTGTGGCTCAAGTGGTAGAGTACTAGCCAAAAAAAAAAAAAAAAGCAACAGCTCAGGGACAATGCTCAGGCCCTAAGTTCAAGCCTCAAGACCAACCCCACCCCAAAGAAAGAAAAGAAAAGAAAAGAAAAGAAAAGAAAAGAAAAGAAAAGAAAAGAAAAGAAAAGAAAAGAAAAGAAAAGAAAAGGAAAGGAAAGGAAAGGAAAAAGGGAAGGAAGGAAGGAAGGAGGGAGAGAGGGAGGGAAGGAGGGAGAGAGGGAAGGAATTAATTATTTTAATCTTTTAAAGTTCCCCAAAAGAAAGCATCTGTGAAGCACCTCACACCTATTAAGACTGTTACCAAAGAAACAGAAAATAACAGATGCTGGAGGTGCTATGGAAAAACTAGAATCCTGGTACACGGTTGGTGGTAATGTAAAATGGTAAAGCCACTGTGAAAAACAATATAGTGGCTAGTCAAGAGATTGAAAATAAAATTACCATATGATCAGCCACTCCACTTGGGGATTTGCCCTCCAAAGAACTGAGAGCAGGACACTGAAGAAACTCTGATGTACACATGCGCACAGCACATTATCCACAAAGCTGAAACAAGCAACCCAAGCGTCTCGGACAGAGGCCAGATTAACATGGTGGCCTATATACATCTGAGTGAATATCATGAAGCCTTTTGGGAGGGAAATGCTAACATGTGAACATGGGTAAACTTGTAGAATGTTGGTTGTCAGGGCCAGAGGAGAAGAACACAATGAGTTTTGTAGGTGCGAAGTTCCATTTTTACACTGCACGTCCAACAATGGTTAGGATGATACTTTTTTAATGCCTTATACGTATATTACTACAATTTGAAAAAGAAAATGGAGAGAGGAGGAAAGAAAGGAAGATAATGAAGGAGAAAATTAGACTTCAGTTCAGGCCATGAGTTCTCAGAGACAGCAAAAGCATGATCCAGAAGTTAAAATTCAATATTGAACTAAAATTAAAAACCTTTACACTTCAACAAACAATATTAAGAAAATGAAAAGTCACATTTTGGGTAATGGGTGATTACAATGTGTCACTTTCGTCAACTGTAATAACCACTGTGGTTCAGGAAGTTCACAGCTGTGCATGACTGGAAAGGGAATGGGATCACTGTAGTTTCTGCTCCATGTTGCTACAAACCTAAAACTGCTCTAGAAAATAAAATCTACCAAAACAATGAAAAGACAAAAGATTTGAACTGCTACTGTAACAGATACAGGAATAGTTGAGCACATGAAAAGATGCTCAGCACCAATAGTCCTTAGAGAAAGACAAGTTCAAATTATGAACTACTGCTACTACTACTACTACACCTACAAGAACACCACACAGAGCTCCCCATGGTAGAATTACATGCAGATACACCTTCCTCCACTTCATAAACTAAATCTATCACAAGTCAAAAAATATATTGAAGCTGGGAGCTGGTGGCTCACATCTTTAATCCTAACTACTCAAGAGGCTGAAATCTGAGGATCACAGTTTGAAACTAGCCCAAGCAGAAAAAAAAAACAACACACAAGTGGAGGTGTGGCTCAAGCGGGGCAAATGCCAGTCTTAAGTAAAAAAGCTAAAGTACAGCGTCCAGTCTGAGATCAAACCCTAGTACCAGCCCCTCCCACACTCACACACACACACAAACTTATATGTTTAACATACTGAACATGTAGCTTAACCTAGCCTACCTTAACCATGCCCAGAATATTCACATTAGTCTAGGTTTAAATACAAACCTGTTTTATAATAAACTGTAAATCATGTAATTTGTTGACTACTGTACTGAGTTAAAAGAAAAAAAATACGTTTTTATGAGTACTCACCATTAATGAACATGGCTGAAAACATACTGGGTCTGAGGAATGCCTGAAGCAGTGAACTAAGACTAACTGCTGAATGAGGTAGATGCTACGGGAACAGGGTTATCTACCTGTCTCCCTTTCGATGAGAACCCAGAAGAGCTAGTAGACAGCAGATGGGCTCTGACACTCACAGTAGGCACAGTGTTTGTCATGAAGATGCCATGTTTTGACTGTACAGTTTGTTTCTTCTTCTCATTATATAGTTCTCTGTAGCAAGCAAGAACATCTTGCATCTGCCGGTCAACTCTTGCAAATCTCTCATCATCGCTGTCCATTTCTTCTAGCATTAGCATGCCCCTGCTGACAGTAGCAAATGCTTCTGCCAGTTTCTCTGTTGTGAACTTTCTGGAAGCCTTGAGAATAACCTCCTCTTCAGTTCGTTCTTCCTCCAGATGAGTCAGCTCCTCATGGGAGGTCTCTTCAGTCTTAACTCTGACAATCTCATGAATGTCCTCTTTATCAATGTCCGAGTCTAGCCACTTTCCAAGAGCTAATGTATTGTTACTTACTATTTCATCACCAGCATGATCTTTGTTAAAGCCCTTTAATACATTCACACACGTCTTCAAAACTTTCTTCCAAATGCAGTTTATGCACTGCTGTGTGACTTCATTCCAAGCTGCAGCTATGTTCTGGATAGCATTTAGAATGTTAAAACCTTTCCAAAACTCCAGGAGCGTGTGGCCAGATTCAGCGGCCTTCACAGCCTGGGCAAGCGTTTGGCGTAAATACTGTGCTTCGAAAGCAGCTATTGCACCTTGGTCCATTGGCTAAATGAACGTGGCTGTGTTCAGAGGCAAGTACACCACTTTTACATCAGGATGCATGTCGCCAATATATTGCAGATGCCCTGACGCATCATCTAAGAGCAGAAGAATCCTGAATGGAATACTGGTTTGTCTACAATATTCTCTTGCTTGTGAGATAAAACAATTCAAAAACCAATCTTCAAACAACGCTGATATCATCCAGGCTTTCTTGTGATGGCGATAATAAATAGGAAGTGCATGCTTGCTTACATTCTTGAATGCTCTGGGATTCTCTGAGTGGTAGATCAGAAAAGGCTTTAATTTGAACCCTGCAACATTGCCACCCAAAAGCAGAGTTACATGGTCTCTGAATCCTGGCACAGTCTTAGACTCCTGATGTATGTATGTATACTCTGACATCCGCTTCCAGAACAAACTTATTTCATCCACATTGAATATTTGCTCTGATAAGTATTTCTGATCTACAATTATCCTATAAAGCCCTTCCTTAAAAGTTTTGGCACACTGAATATCCGTACTTGCTGCCTTGCCACTAACCTTAACAGTATGAAAATTATGGCGTTTTTTAAAGTGTCACCACCCGTGACTGGCAGTAAACATTTGTGTATATTCAGGATCAGCACGCTCCTTTAGCATACTGAAAAGACTTCTTGTCTTAGCCTGAATCATCAGTAGGCTGAGTGGTATGCGATTCTGTCTCCGCTCCTCTATCCACTCCACAAGTAACTTCTCCATATCACCAATTGGCCCAGCTCTTTTCTTCATGGTGACAGTGGACTGAACTGACACTGAGGACCTCACCGCATCACTGATTCACTTCCTATCCTTCAAGATGGTTGAGATGGTAGACTGAGACAGTCCTGACTCACGCAAGATGACCATCACTGGCTTGCCACCTTCATGCTGGGCAATAATGTTGAGTTTCATCTCAAGAGTAATTGCCTTCCTCCTCTTCTTTTCACCAGAGTCAGGAGACAGATGGGCGTTTTGTAGACATGATGGGATGCACAATCATCAAAAGGAGGATCCCAAAAAATGCTGGTAACACAATACACTGTAAAGTTTACCCTCGTAATCATGAAGCTGACTGAGAGCTATAGCTGCCTGCTGCTGCCCAGCTGAGAGAAAATATTACTGAACTGCATGTCTCCAGCCAGGGAAAAGATCAAAATTCAAAACTGGACGAATGTTTTCTACTGAATGAACATTGCTTTCACATCATTGTGAAGTTGAAAAAATCATAAGCCGAACCATCATTAAGTCAGGGACCGTCTGTAATCAAAAAGTCAGACAATACCAAGCATTGGTTAAGAGGTGGAGAAATGACCTCAGCATAACTGGTGAGAGTGTAAAAGAACAGACACTTTTGAAAATAATTTACCAGTTCCCTAAGAAGTATAACACAATCTCAACTACTGGGTATGGCAATTACACTCTTAGGATGCTACGCAAGAGAAATGGAAAGATAAATCCACACAAAGACATGTATATAAATATTGACAGTAGCATTATTCACAGTAGCCAGTA